GTTCTTGTTACCCAGGCTAGAGTGCAATGGCGCGATCTCGGCTCACCGCAACCTCCGCCTCCTGGGTTCAGGCAATTCTCCTGCCTCAGCCTCCTGAGTAGCTGGGATTACAGGCATACGCCACCATGCCCAGCTAATTTTTTGTATTTTTAGTAGAGACAGGGTTTCACCATGTTAACCAGGATGGTCTCCATCTCTTGACCTCATGATCCACCCGCCTCGGCCTCCCAAAGTGCTGGGATAACAGGCATGAACCACCGTGCCGGCCCTATTTATATATTTTTGAGATGGAGTTTCACTCTTGTTGCCCAGGCTGGAGTACAATGGCACAATCTTGGCTCACTGCAACCTCTGCCTCGAGGGTTCAAGTGATTCTCCTTGCCGCAGCCTCCTGAGTAGCTGTGATTACAGGCACCCGCCACCATGCCTCATTAATTTTTTGTATTTTTAGTGGAGACGGGGTTTCACCATGTTGGCCAGGCTGGTCTCGAACTCCTAACCTCAGGTTATCTTCCCTCCTCAGCCTCCCAAAATGCTGGGATTACAGGTGTGAGCCACCACAGCTGAGCTCTTTTATTTATTTTTTTAGAGACAGGGTCTTGCTCTGTTGCCCAGGCTGGAGTGTAGTGGCACAATCACAGCTCATTGAAGCCTTAACCTCCCGGGCTGAAGCAATTCTTCTGCCTCAGCCTCCCAAGTAGCTGGGACTGCAGGCATGCACCACCATGTCAGACTAATTTTTGGTAGAGATGGGGTCTCATTTTGTTCCCCAGGCTGGTCTCTACCTCCTGGGCTCAAGTGATCCTCCCACCTTGGCCTCCCAAAGTGCTGGGATTACAGGTGTGAGCCACCGCACCTGGCCCTATACCACTTTTAAAAGTCATGTTTCTTTTAGAAACGGGGTTTCACCAAGTTGGCCAGGATGATCTCCATCTCCTGACCTTATGATCTGCCTGCCTCCACCTCCCAAACTGCTGGGATTACAGGTGTGAGTTACCGCGCCTGGCCCTATACCACTTTTTTTTTTTTTTTTTTTGGGGGGGGGGTTTCCTTTTGTTACCCGGGCTGGAGTGCAATGGCGCGATCTCGGCTCACTGCAACCTCCGCCTCCTGGGTTCAGGCAATTCTCCTGCCTCAGCCTCCTGAGTAGCTGGGATTACAGGCACACGCCACCATGCCCAGCTGAATTTTTGTGTTTTTAGTAGAGATGGGGTTTCACCATGTTGACCAGGATGGTCTTGATCTCCTGATCTCGTGATCCACCCGCCTCGGCCTCCCAAAGTGCTGGGATTACAGGTGTGAGCCCCCGCACCCGGCCACCTTCTCTTTTTTATAATGTATTTCTGATTTCTAGGGAATTATTCGTAAACTCACCCCGACACTATGTCCCTTGGACATTATCCTTGTATAAACAAAAAGTGCCATTAACGAATGGGTAGAAGTCGAGGGGTGGAGCCTCTGTCCTTGTGCCTGAAGCGAATGTCCCTCAATGCGCCTGCGAGACTCCCACGCCCTGGGAAGGATGCCTATCGATTCGCTCTGGGCTCGGCAGCTCTCTCTGATAGCAGGCGGCCATCTTGCCTGGAGCCTGAGAAAGGGAAGAGAGACAGAGGGAACCGGCGACAGTGGTCTCAGGGCCGCCCCGGGGGGCCTCAAGAACCGGAGGCAGCCCCGGAGGTGGTCCCCGATCCCGGGCTATGCTCTTGGACCTGAGAAGGGAAGGCGGAGGGCGGCGGGGACAAGATGGGTGGGAAATGTCAAGCAAGGAATGCTAGGCGGGGGAGGGGCGTTGCTACGGCGACCGGGGAGGGGCGGTGTCTGTTCTGAATCGCTGTGTGTCACCCGGGCGTTGCCCAGGAAGGGCAGGGCTGGGGTGATGACCATGGTAACAGCCGGGTGGGAGTTCGTGACATCTCCAGCGCGGAGGGACTCGATGTCTACGGCAGTGGTCGCCTGGCGGAAGGGACGGAACTAGATCCCTTCGCTCGGGACGCTCACATTCCAGGCCCTTGTCCTGCAGGCTCCCGCGGGCGGAGGCGCCAGAGGAGGAGGCCAGGGAATGGCCGCGGTGTGGCAGCAAGTCTTAGCAGTGGACGCGAGGTGAGGCGTAGGGTCGAAGCCCATGGGAGCGGAACTTACTGTGGTGCATGCGCAATGGCGATAAGTGAGGCTGGGCGGAGAATTTGCCTTATGCGGCTGCGTGGGCTTGCCGGAGGTGAGCATGCGCAGTAGCGGAGGCGGGCGCGCCCGCCGTGAGTTTCTGGGCCGGAGAGGGTTCTAAACGGCATGCTGGGAAAATGTGGTCAGATGTGGACATGCGCAAAGAGGCTGCCTGTGGGAGGGAGGTGGGGCTCAGGCTGGTGACATCCTATCCCCTATGGGTGTCTCCTAGATTTTTTTTTAACATCATCACTTCCCTGTTCTGACCCCATCACCACCCAACGCTGACCCCCATAATGTCAGTGTGATTTCTGTTGCCATGGTAGACTGACCCCAATTATTGTCCGCGCTGACCCAGTCACCCGGTAGGGACCCCAGCAAGGCAGCAGACTGACTCCATTGTCTGCAAACTCACCTCATCACCATGCTGATTATTGCCGAAGATTCACTCCTACCACAGGACCAAGAGGTCCCCCATCACCACTGCTAGTCATTCTTACTACCTCGGCCCCAGTCACTGCCACATACCTCACTCTCCTGCCCTGTTCCCCGAGCTGATTGATTCCCTCTGTCCTGTGCCTGCTGCCTGCCCTGCATCCTGACCCTGCAGGTACAACGCGTACCGCACACCAACGTTTCCACAGTTTCGGACGCAGTATATCCGCCGGCGCAGCCAGCTGCTGCGGGAGAATGCCAAGGCTGGGCACCCCCCAGCACTGCGTCGGCAGTACCTGAGGCTTCGGGGGCAGCTGCTGGGCCAGCGCTACGGGCCCCTCTCCGAGCCAGGCAGTGCTCGTGCCTATAGCAACAGCATCGTCCGCAGTAGCCGCACTACCCTTGACCGCATGGAGGTGAGCTCCTGGCCACATTCGCCCCCTGGGCATACCCTGCCTGCATACGTTCGCTCTGCAGACTTTCATCAAGCACCTGCTCTGTGCTGGGCACTGTTCTGCATCAGCAGAGGACAAAAAGATAATATGCCAAGTAAATCAATGAACAGACAATAAACTTGGTAAACAGGTCAATAAACATAGAACAAGCCATGTTTGGAGTATCTGTTGAGCAGGGGGAGGGCAGGAACAGCAGAACTCGTGAAGAAGCCACTGCAGTAGTGCAGGCAGGCAGCGGTGGTGGTGGCAGGGGACACGGTGAGAAGTGATCTGGCTCTAGGTAGAATTTCAGGGCTCCACACCTCAAAGGATCTCAGGGGCTTTTTGCAGGATGCACCCACTCTGACCCTCTCCATTTGCAGGACTTTGAGGATGATCCTCGGGCCCTGGGGGCCCGTGGGCACCGCCGTTCTGTCAGTCGAGGCTCCTACCAGCTGCAAGCACAGATGAACCGTGCCGTCTATGAGGACAGGTATGCGCCAGAGGTAGCTGAGGAGGGTGTGGTTGTGAGGAGGAGAGGGGCCCTGGGGCAATGGCAGACTGAACACTCTCACATCTACCTCTTGTCACCCCTCACTTCCTATTGGGGCCCAGGCCCCCTGGCAGCGTGGTGCCCACGTCAGCGGCAGAGGCAAGCCGGGCCATGGCTGGGGACACATCACTGAGCGAGAACTATGCCTTTGCAGGCATGTACCATGTTTTTGACCAGCACGTGGATGAAGCAGGTGAGTCAGTGGGTGGCGGGTTCTATCACCAAGTGTTTGCCCAAACTGTGACAACCAACCAAGGCATCCTTTTCTGAATACCAGGCCCCTGGCACACCTCTGAAGGAGGAATTCGCATCCAGAAAGCCTTCTGCAGACTGAAAAGCCCCCTGCACAGTGGTCTGCAGAGTCTCAGTGCTTTCTCTACTGTAAAGAGCCTCAGAAGCCTAAGAGAGCCCTTTGTAGCAGGGAGCCTGGGTTTGTGAGTCACTTGGAAGAGTTCAAAGATGGGCTGGGCGAGGTGGCTCACGCTTGTAATCCCAGCACTTTGGGAGGCTGAGGCGGGCAGATCACAAGGTCAAGAGATAGAGACCATCGTGGCTAACACAGTGAAACCCCGTCTCTACTAAAAATACAAAAAATTAGCCGGGCGTGGTGCCAAGGGCCTGTAGTCCCAGCTACTCAGGAGGCTGAGGCAGGAGAATCACTTGAGCCCGGGAGGTGGAGGTTGCAGTGAGCCAAGATTGTACCACTGCACTCCAGCCTGGGTGACAGAGCGAGAAGCAAGACTCCGTTTCAAAAAAAAAAGACATTGCTGATGAGAAATCCCCTTGCAGAGGACAGAGTGGGCTACAGTGTCAAGGGTTTTGCAAACGGCCAAGACCTTGATTGTAAATTGTTTGCTAAGACAGGAGCTTTTTCACATTGCAGAAGACTTTTGCAATCTGCAAAGGAGCTGCTAAGACTTAGGGAGCTTTGGCAGAGTGCCCTCTGGGGTTACAGTTCCCTTTGTCAGCCAAGGAAAGCCCTTTGCTGAGGCCACTGTGCCTCATGCAGTGGGGCCCCAGGCCCTGGCACACGCATCAGAGCCTTTTAGAGAGAAAAGTGCCCAGTGTGTGTGCAGACTCCCACAAATGGCTTCTTGGCATTGCAGTTCCACGAGTGCGCTTCGCCAATGATGACCGGCACCGCCTGGCCTGCTGCTCACTCGACGGCAGCATCTCCCTGTGCCAGCTGGTACCCGCCCCGCCCACGGTGCTTCGTGTCCTACGGGGCCACACCCGTGGTGTCTCTGACTTCGCCTGGTCCCTCTCCAATGACATCCTCGTATCCACCTCACTTGATGCTACCATGCGCATCTGGGCCTCTGAGGATGGCCGCTGCATCCGGGAGATCCCTGACCCCGATGGTGCTGAACTGCTCTGCTGTACCTTCCAGCCTGTCAACAACAACCTCACCGTGGTCAGGCTCCAGGGCACCCACTCACCAAGGGCGGGCGGACTGGGTCAGGAAGGCCATCTGAGGGAGTGAGAGTATAAGGAGGGGCAGCCAGGGGGGCCTAGGACCCCCGTGAATCTCATCACAGCAGTCCTAGTGTGGTCAGACTTAAAAGGGAAGCAGATCATAAGACCATTCTTGGTCTGAGATGGCCTTGCTGTGGTAAACTTCAGGGAGCACTGGCCAGGGCAGGGTCCTGGCTCTGGGACCCCTTTGGTCACGTCAGCTGCAGTCCTACAGCTTTCTAACTGCAGGGGCTACCTCTGAGGAGCAGGACGATGAGGCTGAGCCTCATCTGGTCTATCAATGGCAGCCCCACCATGGTCAGACTCCAGGGTAGATTGGTCAGAGAGCAGGGGAAGAACATTAAAAAGTCTGGCATGGCCCAGGGTGGGATGGGGTGAAGTACAGAGGAACTGACCAAGAGCGAGCTTGTGGGCCAGGATCCTCCCCATGTCAGCAGCAGCCCCACAAGTTCCAGAAAGGCGCAGCCAGGGAGCAGGGTAAAGCTGGGATCACAGGCCTGGGCAGGCCCTGTGGTTCTCACACTGCAGGAGGACTGGCCAAGGGGCAGCATGATGGCTCTGAAGGCCCTTTAGTCCCATAGGCAAGTGCCCTACTCTGGGCAGATTGCAAGAGGGGCTGGCTAGGGAGGTGGATTCATGCCTGATCACCTTCTTGTCTACCTGCCACAGCCCCACTGTGAATAGACTCTTAATGGGGACCAGCCAGTCCCATCAACGGTAGCCTCACTGTGTTCAGACTCGAGGAGGGACTGGCTGGGAGCAGAATGATGGTCTGTGCACTCTCCCCACAGGTGGGGAACGCCAAGCACAATGTGCATGTCATGAACATCTCCACGGGCAAGAAAGTGAAGGGGGGCTCCAGCAAGCTGACAGGCCGTGTCCTTGCTCTGTCCTTTGATGCCCCTGGCCGGCTGCTCTGGGCGGGTGATGACCGTGGCAGTATCTTCTCCTTCCTCTTCGACATGGCCACAGGTAGGCAGACAGTAGTTCTGCATCTGGATGCTTGCCCTCCCAGGGCATAGCCCTCACCCTCCCCTTTGCCCTCCCTCCCTCCGCTGCTGCAGGGAAGCTGACCAAAGCCAAGCGTCTGGTGGTGCATGAGGGGAGTCCTGTGACCAGCATCTCAGCCCGGTCCTGGGTCAGCCGCGAGGCCCGGGACCCCTCGCTGCTCATCAATGCTTGCCTCAACAAGTTGCTGCTCTACAGGTGGGTCCCCCACAGGGCCTCCTGGAGATGGAGGGCCTGCCTCCTCCAGCACACTGGGACAGTAGCCCATCTCCTCCATCAGGTTAATTTCATTGAGGGAGCAGTAGTAGCAGTAACACTAACAGCAGTAGTGAGCGTGCACGTTTACAGCAATCACTGCGGCCAGGCCCTGTTTGAAGCAGTTTCTGTGTATCACTGCATTCAGTCCTTGCACCAACCTGTGAGGTAGGTGCTGTTATTAACTCCATTTTGCAGTTGAGCAAACTGAAGCATAAAATAGATGAGGGCAAAAGATATGAACAGACACTTTTCTTTTTTTTTTTTTTTCCCCGAGACGGAGTTTCACTCACATTTACCCAGGCTGGAGTGCAATGGCGTGATCTCGGCTCACCGCAACCTCCACCTCCTGGGTTCAGGCAATTCTCCTGCCTCAGCCTCCTGAGTAGCTGGGATTACAGGCACGCACCACCATGCCCAGCTAATTTTTTGTATTTTTAATAGAGACGGGGTTTCACCATGTTGACCAGGATGGTCTCGATCTCTTGACCTCGTGATCCACCCGCCTTGGCCTCCCAAAGTGCTGGGATTACAGGCTTGAGCCACCGCGCCCGGCCCGAACAGACACTTTTCAAAAGAGGACATTTATGAGGCCAACAAACATATGAAAAAATGCTCATCATCATTGGTCATTAGAGAAATGCAAATCAAAACCACATTGAGATACCATCTCACGCCAGTTAGAATGGCAATCATTAAAAAATCTGGAGACAACAGATGCTGGAGAGGATGTGGAGAAATAGGAACACTTTTACCTGTTGGTGGGAATGTAAATTAGTTCAAGCATTATGGAAGACAGTGTGGCAATTCCTCAAGGATCTAGAGATAGAAATTCCATTTGACCCAGCAATCCCATTACTGGGTATATATCCAAAGGATTATAAATCGTTCTACTATATGGACACAGGCACACGTATGTTCAATGCAGCACTGTTTACAATAGCAAAGACCTGGAACCAACCCAAATGCCCATCTATGATAGACTGGACAAGGAAAATATGGCACATATATACCATGGATTACTATGCAGCCATAAAAAAGGATGAGTTCATGTCCTTTGTAGGGACATGGATGAACCTGGAAACCATCATTCTCAGCAAACTGATGCAAGAACAGAAAACCAAACACTGCATGTTCTCACTCATAGGCAGGTATTGAACAATGATGACACATGGGCACAGGGAGGGAAACATCACACACTGGGGCCTGTTGGGGGATGAGGGGCTAGGGGAGGGACAGCTGGGGGTGGATAGGTTGGGGAGGGATAACATTGGGAGAAATGCCTGATGTAGGTGATGGGGGGTTGAAGACAGCAAACTACCATGGCATGTGTGTACCTATGCAACAATCCTGCAGGATCTGCACATGTACCCCAGAACTTAAAGTACAATAAAACAAAAATAGACTAGGGTTACTTAAAGCAAGGCCTGTTTTCCTTTCTTCCTTCCTTTTTTCTTTGTTTGGTTTTTTTTTTTAGGGGGTGGGGTGTGGGAGTTACTATCCCCACTCAATCTGTCATGTGACCCAAATGCAGTTCTTAGCCTGGGCCACACATTGGAATGACCTGAAGAGTTTTAAAAAATTCTGCCCGGGCCCCTCTGCAGGGCAGTGGTTTCAGAAGTTTTGGGATAGGCCTGGGCATGGGTAGATTGAGAAATTCCCTAAGCGATATCCGGCCAGGCCTGAAAACCACTGCTTAACAGGATGTTTTTTATTCTACCACTTTATTTCTCTCCTTTTTTTTTTTTTTTTTTGAGGTGGAGTCTCACTCTGTCGCCAGGCTGGAGTGCAGTGGCCTGATCTCGGCTCACTGCAACCTCCACCTCCTGGGTTCAAGCGATTCTCCTGCCTCAGCCTCCTTAGTAGCTAGGATTACAGGCATGTGCCACTACGCCTGGCTAATTTTTGTATTTTTAGTAGAGATGAGGTTTCACCATGTTGGCCAGGCTGGTCTCGATCTCTTGACCTCGTGATCCGCCCACCTCGGCCTCCCAGAGTGCTGGGATTACAGGCGTGAGCCACTGCACCCAGCTCTCTCCTCCTTTTTAAACAATTTCTATATATATGCTTTAAAAATTTTTAATTTAAATTTACCCTTAGGTTTGTGCCCATTTCCCACAGCCCCTCCCTTCTTCCTCCTATCACCTCTGGCCCTCTCTTGCCATAGTAAAGCCCATTATGATCCACATCTTTCCATATACCCTTCTCTCTCCACGAATCTGAGGCGTGTACACATACTTATGTGTGTTTTTGTTTGTTTATGAGATAGGGTTTTGCTGTCACCCAGATTGGAGTGCAGTGGCGTGATCATGGCTCACTGCAGCCTCCAACATCTGGGCTCATTTGATTTCCCCACCTCAGACTAAGTATCTGAGATTACGGGCATGTGCCACCATGCTGAGCTAACTTTTTTAATCTATTTTTTGCAGAAATGAGGATTTGCCATGTTACCCAGTCTGGTCTCGAACTCCTGGCCTCAAGCAGTCCTCCCGCCTCAGCCTCCCAAAGTGCTGGGATTACAGGCGTGAGCCACCTTGCCTGGCTCCCACCATAGTTTTGAAGGAAAGACATTTTAAAGAAATGGGTTTTCTTATCACTTAATGTTCCTTTTATGGAGGTACCAGTTTCATTGTTCACCTATTGAAAGACATTCTTGGGCCAGGTGCAGTGGCTCACGCCTGTGATCCCAGCACTTTGGGAAGCCGAGGTGGGCGAATCACTTGAGATCAGGAGGTCAAGACCAGCCTGGTCAACCTGGAAAAACCCTATGTCTACTAAAAATATGAAAATCAGCCGTATGTTGTGACAGGCGCCTGTAATCCCAGCTACTCTGGAGGCTGAGGCTGCAGAATCACTTGAACTTGGGAGGCAGTGGTTGCAGTGAGCTGAGATCATGCCATTGCACTACAGCCTGAGTGACAGAGCCAGACTCCATCTCTTAGGGGAAAAAAAAAAAAAAAAAGGCTGGGCACGGTGGCTCATACCTGTAATCGTAGCACTTTGGAAGGCCGAGGCAGGTGGATCACGAGGTAGGAGTTCAAGATCAGCCTGGCCAATATGGTGAAACTAAAAATATAAAAATTAGCCAGGCATGGTGGTACACGTCTATAGTCCCAGCTACTCAGGAGACTGAGCAGAAGAATCACTTGAACCTGGGAGGCAGAGGTTGCAGTGAGCCGAGATTGCATCACTGCACTCCAGCCTGAGGACAGAGTGAGACTCTGTCTCAAAAAAAAAAGAAAAAAGAAATGGCCTTTTCATACATCTCAAGTTTCTCACCAGGCAATGCCTTGTAGAAACCCCCCAGGTCACCTTTGGGAACTGTGCTTTATTCTTTCTAAGGACTGTGCAGTTTTCCACAGTGTGGGCGTACCATGGTGTGTTCATTTAGTCTCTTTGTGCCTGTCTTAACACCAGGATCTTAGAAAGAAAAACTAGTGAATGAAACTGGAGAGGCTCCTGTTTATATCAACAGAGACAGTTTCTGAGCCATCGGCCCCTATTTACAGTTTATGCAGTCACCTCAGAATTGGGTTTCATAAGCTGGGTATGGTACGTACCTATAGGTAGTCGCAGCTACGCAGGAGGCTGAGACGAGAGGATCACTTGAGCGTGGGAGGTTGAGGCTGCAGTGAGCCATGATCGCACCACTACACTCCAGCCTGGGTGACAGAGTAAGATCCTGTCTCAAAAACAAAAAATATTGGGTTTCATGAACCTTGAAAAGAACTTAGGCATGGGGTGGGGACACAGGCCCACAACTTGTCCCCCTGCTGGGGCTGGGGCTGTGTTTTGACCTTCTTTCTCGTCCTCCTCTCAGAGTGGTAGACAACGAGGGGACCCTGCAGCTGAAGAGAAGCTTCCCCATCGAGCAGAGCTCACACCCGGTGCGCAGCATCTTCTGTCCCCTCATGTCCTTCCGCCAGGGGGCCTGCGTGGGTGAGTCCTATAGGTACAGGGGATCTGGGTGGCTGGGGGAGGGGCAGGGACCAGGGCTGGTCCCGACTTGGCTCAGATATCACGACACCCTGACACCCTGACTTCCTGGGCCTCATGACCCCTCACACCCCAACAGCCTCAGTCTGGGACTGACAGCTCCAAACAGCTCAGAGAACTCACAGTTTGCACTTGATCTCAGCCAAAAGGCCGAGAAGCAATCAAAACACACTTTGAACACACCTCCCCCAAAAAAGCCCAGAGACCTTGTACTCTGCACACAGTACTGAAATAGCCAGGTGACCTCCCAGCTAGGGATGGGGCCCCCTCAAACTTCCCCAAGCCATGCTGGAAACTCACACCTCCAACATACACCCTTCAACACCTCAGGGACTTCCCACCAGGGGCACCCCAGGCGCCTCCCGATGGCCTCTCCCTCTCACCCCGACAGTGACAGGCAGTGAGGACATGTGCGTGCACTTCTTTGATGTGGAACGGGCAGCCAAGGCTGCTGTCAACAAGCTGCAGGGCCACAGTGCGCCCGTGCTTGATGTCAGCTTCAACTGCGACGAGAGCCTACTGGCCTCCAGTGACGCCAGCGGCATGGTCATCGTCTGGAGGCGGGAGCAGAAGTAGGGTCCTGCCGGCCCTGCTGCTGTCCACCATCTCATCCCTTTACTCCAGCCTCGTGTTGTAAATAAAGCTTCAGTGGTTGTGCTGAGGGCCGGCTCCCAGCTCTGCCGGGGACTGGCAGGGGAGCAGGCAGCTCCAGGAACACGGTGGAACGGAGTTCATTGACTCATTTGTGCATTCATGCATCAACGATTCATTCATTCCACAAGCATTGATTGAATGTCTGCTGGGTCACAGGCACCGCTTTAACTGTTTTACACACTCATGCATTCGATAGACGTTAGTGAGCCCTGACTGTGTGCCAGGAACTGTTCTAGGCACTGGGGATACTGCTGTGACCTAATCTGATGGAAATGCCTGCCCTTGTTGGGCTTGTGTTGTAGAGGAGACAGTAGACAAAAATATGGAACAGGTCAGCTAATGATGAGTGGTGCAAGGAAAATAAGGCAAGGATGGGAGACAGAGCTGCAGAAGTTGGAGTTGGGGGAGTGGGACTTTACGGTATCAGGGAAGACATTCCTGACAGGGTGCCTTCTTTTGTTTTTGAGAGGGGGTCTCACTCTGTCACCCAGGTTGGAATGCAGTGGCATGACCATAGCTCACTGCAGCCTCAACCTCCAGGGCTTAGGTGATCCTCCCACTTCAGCTTCCCAAGTAGCTACAGGTGTACACCACTACACCCAGCTAATATATATATTTTTAAAGACGGGGTTTCACCATGTTGGCCAGGGTGGTCTCGAACTCCTGACCTCAGATAATCTGCCCGCCTTGGCCTCCCAAAGTGCTGGGATTTCAGGCATGAGCCACCATGCCCGGCGAGACCCTAATTTTTGTATTTTTAGTAGAGACAGGGTCTTGCCATGTTGCCCAGGCTGGTCTCGAACTCCTGGGCTCAAGCGATACACTCGCCTCGGCCTCCCAAAGTTCTGGGATTACAGGCATGAACAACCACGCCTGGCTCAGGGTGACATTTAAATAAAGACCTGAATGAAGTGAGTGGGAGTCATAGTGTAGGGGCAGAACATTTTAGGCAGAGAGAAAGCCAGCCTAAAGACCCTGAGGCTGGAGCGTTCCAGAAGGATCATTGTGTATGCCAGAGTCTTGCTGGACCATAGTGTGACAGTAGATGGGGTCGGACAGGCCAGATGCTATCGTGCTTCGGGAGCCACAGTGAAGACTTTGGCTTTTTTTCAGAGTAGGGGGTGATGCATCACCAGAAGGTCTCAAGCAAAGGAGGGGCACAATCTGACTTGGTCATAGAGGCTCCCTCTGGCTGCTGAAGGGAACAGATTGAGGGTGGGGGTTGAAGCAGGGGACCCAGCAAGAGACCCCTCGAGCGCAGTCATGGGGACTTGCAGCAGGGTAGCACAGTGGAGTAGTGGGTGGGAAATATTGGGTTGGACCCCCAGGGGGTTCACCATGTTAGGCTTCAGGACTCTGCTGCCTCCTGTGGTGAGTGGCTCCATTCCCAGACTCCTCCACATAGCAGCCCTTGCCTGGGCCCCACCCCTCTCTATGCATCATGTTTTCTTGAAAGCAGGGAGCACAGGTGTTGAGTCCTGGAGCCCCAAACTGATGTAGGAGCAACAGGGAGCTAAGGCTGAGCTGGGGCCTCCTGTTGTGTGGTGGACTCTCCGTCACTCAGACCATGCCAGTCTCCTCCCAGCCCCATCCAGGGTGCAAATTCCAGCCCTGGAACAGCTCAGAGACCAAAAAGTGTTGATCAGTATTTGAGGGGAGCCCCAAGAGAGGAGAAAAAGCTTTGAGTATTGATGGAGGTAAATAACCCAAACCGTGTACCAGTGGCCTGGGTCACCAGAAAAGGTCAAAGTTACCAGAAGCGGCAAAGAGGCTCTTGCTCCGGCCTCTCCCTCCCTCCCCAGCGTTATTTGCTGCCACATATGCGTCAGTTGGAACTGCGACTCTCAGGACCTTAGGGTCAGTCCACAGCATGGTGGAGACTCCAGCTTGGCTCGGTGTTGTTGAGCTGCTGAACTCGCACCAGCAGTCTTCTTGGAGGGAAATAATCTCCCGTTTGTTCAGTCCAGTTATTTGACAGTGTGGTTATTTGCATCCCAAGCATTTCTAACCGGGACTTCCATCTAATAGACCTCAGGGTACATGGTGGTGAGATAGGGACATCAGTGAGGTGGACTGTTCCTGTGGTCAGGGTCATGTATATATGTGTGTCATGATCCCCAGTACCAGCCCCAGGCTCAGTGATTTGCTAGGAGGACTCCCAAGACTCAGTATGTGGTTGTATTCATGGCTATGATTGATTTATTACAACAAAAAGATAAAAAGATACAGAGCAAAATCAGCAAAAAGAAATGGTGTGTGAGGCCAACTCCTGGGGAAACCCAGGCACAAGTTTCCAAGGCTCCTCTCTCATTGGAGTCACACAAGGTGTGCTCGGTTCACAGTAATGGGTTGTGACAATATGTGTGAAATGTTGCCAACCAAGGAAGCTCAATTAGAGACTCAGCACTCAGAGCTTTTTTTGTTGTTTTTGAGATGGAGTCTTGCTCTGTCACCTGGGCTGGAGTGCAGTGGCGCGATCTCGGCTCACTGCAACCTCTGCCTCCCAGGTTCAAGCGATTCTTCTGCCTCAGCCTCCTGAGTAGCTGAGGCTACAGGTGTGTGCCACCATGCCTGGCTAATTTTTGTATTTTTAGTAGAGATGGGGTTTCACTATATCATCCAGACTGGTCTCGAACTCCTGACCACGTGATCCGCCTGCCTCAGCCTCCCAAAGTGCTGGGATTACAGGCATGAGCTACTGCACCTGGCTGGTACCAAGCTTTTATTGGGGGATGGTCCCACAGGCATCCCCTACCTGGCACCTACCCAAATCCCAGACTCCCAGAAGGAAAGCAGGGGTTCAGCATAAACCACTTTTTTTTTTTTTTTTTTTTTTTTTACAAACATCTTAGGTACAGTGAGCCATTCTTTGTTATTTTATTTTATTTATTTTATTTTATTTTATTTTTTGAGACAGGGTCTCACTTTGTTGCCCAGGCTGGAGTGCAGTGGCTCAAACACGGTTCACTGCAGCCTCAACCTTTCAGGCTGAAGTGGTCCTGCCTCAGTTCCCAAAGCAGCTGGGACCACAGACGTGCAACACCATGCCCCTGGCTGATTTTTGTAGAGATGGGTTTCACCATGTTCCCCAGGCTGGTCTTGAACTCCTGGGTCAGGTGATCCTCCCACATTGGCCTCCCAAAGTGCTGGGATTACAGGTGTGAGCCACCACACCCAGCCAGAGTGAGCCATTCTTATCTCTTAGGGAGTGGTGGGAATCCTCCTAGAATCTATGTACCCCCAGCAGCCAAGGGCCAACCTTGAAGCAGGCTTTTCCAAGGATCGCAGTCGAGGCCTACTGTGTTACTATTTTTCTGCATGATGTGCAACACCACACAGATGCCCAGTTTCCACCAAAGTCTGTGGATGGCGAGATAATTTGGGGGAACCTTTTTCGCTAACACTTTCTTCTTTTGTTGACACTCTTCACATTCTCTGTTGAGTCTGAATTCAAGATGATTGATTGTGAATATTGTTGTGCATGATTTTGGCAGTTTCCTCCTTGTGAAATTTTGAGGTGGCAGAGTTGACATTCTGCTTTAAACTCATCTTGGTGGTACTTTTCTTGACTCACCACCTAAGAGGGAATAAATAATGAAGAAAGAATAAAAATAATGTTATCAGTCACATTTGGGCCTCGGTTAACTTGTCCAGCATTGTTACTGTGCCTCTGGTTTGACATCGTATCTGGAGCTCTGTCAACCATTCCACTGTTAATACTACTCTGGTCTTGCCTCAAATCGAGGCTTCCATTAACTGTTTCTTGCCCTTTGTCTGACTTTGAACCCGTTTGTTTGTCAGCCACTTCATCATCAAGAGCCTCTCTGGTCTGAAACCAAAGCTAGACCTTTGTTAACTATTACCCCACCAGTGTACCACTGGTCAAATCTCAAACCAAGGCTACTGTATAATATTTCACTAGCAATTGGCTTCTAATCTGACCTTGAACTGAACTTGCGCTTCTATTAACTACAGTATTTGTGATCAGTGCCCTTTTGCTCCATTCCAACCTCAAGGACCCTCAGTCCTGACCTTGAATCTGGGCCTCTGTTAATTATTTCACCATCCATGTCCTTATGGTGTCAATTCCAATCTGCACTTCCGTATTAGCAGTTGTACCATTGGCTGGGCGCAGTGGCTCACGTCTGTAATCCCAGCACTTTGGGAGGCTGAGTCGGGCAGATCACCAGAGGTCAGGAGTTCAAGACCAGCCTGATCAACATGGAGAAACCCCATCTCTACTAAAAATACAAAATTAGCCAGGCGTGGCGGTCCATGCCTGTAATCCCAGCTACTCTGGAGGGTGAGGCAGGAGAATCACTTGAACCCGGGAGGTGGAGGTTGCTGTGAACCGAGATCGCGCCATTGCATTCCAGCCTGGGCAACAGAGCAAAACTCTGTCTCAAAAGAAAAGAAAAGAAAAGAAAACCAAAACAGTTGTACCAAACAGTTGGCCTATGAAGTCCAAACTTCAGCCCAGGCCTCACTGACTCTTTAGTCTGACCTCATACCTGGGCATCTCTTAATGTTTGTTTCACCAGCACCTATGACCTCAAACCCAGACACTTTATTATTTATTTATTTGTTTGTTTATTTGAGACAGAGTCTCCCTCTGTTGCCCAGGCTGGAGTGCAGTTTCATGATCTGAGCTCACTGCAAACTTCGCCTCCTGGGTTTAAGCGATTCTCCTGCCTCAGCCTCCAAAGTAGCCAGGATTACAGTGTGTGCCACCATGCCTGGCTAATTTTTGTATTTTTAGTAGACATGGGGTTTCACCACATTGGCCAGGCTGGTCTCAAACTCCTGATCTCAAGTGATCCCCCCGCCTTGGTCTCCTAAAATGCTGAGATTACAGGCGTGAGCCACATGCCCGGCTGACCTTCATTTGATATTCTAGCTTACAGGTCCTACTGGTCTCTAATTAAACCTGGACCTCTGTTCATTTTGCATCTAACATCCTCATGGATCATACCTGGTCTTCTTTTTAACCATTCAACCTCTGTCCCCTCTGATCTGACTTTGAATGTAGGCCATTTTAACCCCTAAACCATCATTTGGTCTGATCTCA